TGACGGTAGACACGTAACAATTTTTCACGCAAAAATTAACTTGATTATTTAGGTGGAATTTTATTTTTAAAGGTTGGTGTTTTAAATGTTGTTACAATGAAGTGTTTGTTATTTTAATGCAATTTTTTCAGCAATATAATATCTAAAACATGCCCCTTTATATATGGAAAATTACATAATTTAAGTTATAACGATAAATAAATTAATATACTAAAAATTGTTCTTGTGCTTCTGGTGTAACTGGCAGTGCCGATATCCTTAAAGTGTTACGCGGATGGGCCCACCGAATACAGTATAACCTCAAATTTTCAAATTTGTATTGGCTATAATTTTATGATATGGGAGTTTACGATGTATATGGAAACCCGCACAATTCAGTAATAATAGTTTTCTTTTATATATTAAAATAAATACGTTTTGCTAAATCTAAAATGAACGGAAAAAAATAATTTATGTCAGTTTTAAACATTTATTTATTGATTTATTTATCTATTTAATCCTGTAATTACAGTCAAGCTCTGAAGAAGCCAGCAGGATGATTGGCGAAACGTCAGCAATTTAGACTAAGCAAAAACCGACGCAGGAGGAATCCAGAAGTTTTGTAACATACAACATACAATTCGTAAATTTTCTTTGCAGTTATGAAAACGGAAAATTTAATTTCATGGCATATTGTTAAATTTATTTCTATTTTATAAATATTTTAATTCTCACAGCATATGGTAGCCAGTAGGCCGACGAAGCCTTTGGATAATGAGAAACTAATAATTTACTTTTTATATTATAATTGTCACTCGACAAATAGGAATAAATTATACTTAAACCCCCTATGTCTTTTTTCAAATTAGTAGCATTATCACCATTATATTTCTTTTTACTTTTCTAGCATATTTCGTTTCTTGTATAAAACATTATTAGTCGGTGGTTCGTTTTGTAATAGAATTTTGTTCCATATGTTTTAATGTTCCACTTGGGCCTAAACTCAAAGTAATTTAGAATAAATGGTAGTTGTTATAGAACCATTTGTCATTTTTCATTGCTCCCTCCAACCTTCATACTAATACACTATACAAATCAATTCAGACAAAAATTTCTCCAACACATTAAAACTGGCGCATTCACCATTAGTCAAGATGATTTGAATCACAACCCACCTAACTTGGTCTTGACCAGTTCGTTACAAGCACCGATAAAATATGTAATAAAGAAGGATACAAAATTTCCACAATTTAATTTAGAATATGTTGTACTGCAATCTAACTTTCCGCTTAAATTTTGATATAAATTAATGTCATCCCCGCTCCCAGATTCGAAATAACTAACGGTTTTTAGATTAGCTTCAACTGCGGTTTTAATGTTTTTGACCTATATGTTTTACGACTTTAAGTAATTGGTGTACAGACAAAATGTCGGCAACTCGTTCTGCCTTTTTAAAATTAGATATGATTACGAATCTGGTAAGTAACGTTAAATCAAGATGTAATCAGAAATTCCGGAGGGACGGAGCCTACAATTTTTAGCTTGAACTCATTCTGAGCGTTGAATTTAGAAAAAAGAGTTTATCCCAACCTCATCTCCCCAGTTTCACGAGAAACCGCGCGTTTTGTCATAATTATCCGAACCTAAATACGGTGTTGCCGAAAAGTTGCAAATTACAAATTATTCGATTCGACGTAGCCCGTAAAACGGTCAGCGCTAAAAATAATCCCGAGTTCATTAACGAAACGCTCGAACAGTTGTTTACCTACAAAACTTATTTTTCCGTTTCGAATTCATTAATTAATTTCCTTTTAATGCCGCGGTAAAAGTTGTCGGAATAAGGCCATTGAGTGGGCATTTATGAATGAAACTGTTGCGCAAGTGCTTGAATACGACCTTTTAATATTCCATGCTCGTAAGATGTATGGTTTTGGAATAAATCCGGACGGATCGAAGATGGCGCCGGCTAAAATTTGTGAGTGCCGGGTGGCCAAATAAGAAAGCCGCTTAGTCATATCTCGAAAAGTAAATATCGTAAGGACATGGACTGAAAAAACTTATAATTAATGACAGTCAGAGGACGTAATCGCATTCTTCAATTCTTCTTCATATTATTAAAACGCATTTTGTCAAACTTGGAGTCGTTGAAAAGGACTGTTTTTGACTATCGACGTTGCCGCTAGAGGAGCTTGTTATTTATTTTAATAAATTTTTCCTTAAAAAAATTATCACTTTTATCGAAATAAAAAATAGCCAAATGAGAGTCTAACAACTAGTGAAAACTGCATTTCGATGTATTTTAATTATAGTTTAATTAATAAATCAATCAATCAGTAAAATAAATTTTGACAATGACAATACAAAAATTCGTGACAGTAACAATATTTTTATTTGTAATTGTTATACGTTATTAAACGCGTTCTAATTAAAACTAAATATGCGTTATTCACTTGAAGAAAAAGTAACCATAATTAAGTGATATGCAGGAATAAGTCTTAGAGCATATTTTCAGTTTATTTTCTTGCTAAAACTATACCTTCCATTTCAACAATAAAAACGTATTATTACCCAATTCTAGTCCAAAGGCACCGTAAATAAATAACCGCAAATATTCGTGTACAAAATGATTAGTACTAGGATTCTTCCACAGACTGTAAATAAACATCAAAACACAGTGCTGCCTCCATTAAAAAAGCACAAATATTTTTCCTATAAATACGAAAAGCACCAAGAGCTCCGGGAAGGCGATGAAGAAAGAAGTGTAGCATTTTGTTTTGAAATGAAGGAAAAAGCATATAATGATATGGAATTTTTTTAAATATGTGTTTCACTGAATGAAGAATGGCTTATTCAAATTTATTCAAACTGGGCACATGAGTTAATCATAACGTCCCCTTCAAAAAGTTACATTACAACTTTGCTATAAAATGTACAGAGAAGCCAATAGTTGGCTACCTAAAAATTTACATTGGATTTCCTATGTTCTGTTCGGCATCGCCCGGTATAAATAAATTTACTGTAAAATTGGAAATTTTATTTATATATACATATGCTAGTAATTAATAATCTGTCTACACAAAATTCGAAATTTTTGAAATCTAAATGCGCTTTTTAAAACAAAATAGCAAAAGTTGTGGTGTTGTTCAAGTTCCAATCAATATTAAGATTGTGGCCATTTATGGTATTATGATAATCTTGATGGCCTTATTTCTTAAGAAACGCCTTTTGCAGCTGTAAATGCTTCGAATAGCTCGTAACTCAATTACCTACAGTATTGCGGGTGAAACTTTTTACGGATATCGGTATTGGACAATTGTCCTTAGTAGATATACCCATTGTTGTAAAAAAAAGAAGAGGAAATAATCGATCACAGACTAGTAAACAATTTGTGGCTTTCTGTGCATCTCACTTGGCTTTGGCGCCATCGTTCGATTACGTCCCCTAAGAGGCAGGTGGAGCAAAAACTACTCTACGAAAAATAATCGAATTTATCCCAATTTTGGTTGTATGTAATAAAAAGCTATTTCCCCAAAAAGGAGAATTAACAATTAAAAGAATGCGATTACACTCCTAGCGGCCCTTCTAGAAATTTAAAAACAATTTCCACGATTTTAGCCGGTTTAGACATAACTTTTTTCACTCCAAGTCTTTACGACAATTACTTCTCAAGATAGAGGTGAGTGTTTTCTTAACCTGATGCAATAATTGTTGCTACTAAATATTTAATTTTAAAATGCTACGCGTTTTTCAGGAAGAATTGACAGCGGTGTAACTAATTTTGCCCACTACGATCAGCCAAACGTTTTTAAGATTCGGCTTTGGGAAGCGGGCCAAACGGTAGTTATTTTGAATTAAATCTGAATTTACGAACGTTGGTAGATACTTATTAAATGAAGGAAAAAGGAGCTAAGCCTCAAATAATGAGGTGTCTGATATATAACCATTGAATGGACAGCACGCGACTCCTACGCTGATCCGGCAACCAAGGCTTTTGATCATTTTTATAAATACGTGCTTTTGCGTATATCCCTTGTTACGAACGGTTAGTTGCTTAGTGAGGTACGTACCTTTATAAAAAGAGGTCTGGTAACAGTGGCCGTAAACAAAAATATTATAGAATTAAATATTATATGCTATTTACTTGGTGACTTATTCTAATCTCCGGATCTGTGCCATAGAACAATGGTTAATACAGCAACTGTTACGCAAATTACGTTTTATATCTAAATGTTTTATAATTTATTTCAAGTTTTATGTTTTTGAACTAAATATACAAAATGTTATATTCACGACGATATTTTGTTAAGAAAATTGATTATATCACTTGCAGTTTCGATAAAAGCACATTTTAATGTCCCGTTATTAATTATATAATAATTAACTAACAATATTAAAAAAAAAAGTTAAACAAGAGAGGTTTGTCAACGCGCTTATAAGGTGATTTCAGCAAATTTTAATTCCTAGATCTTACTGATCCTTAGCTGGAATTTAACAGTGCAATACATACATATAAAGCTGAAAATTGTAAGCAACGAATATTATACCTTATGTTCATTCATTTACAATATTTTTTAAGTAAATTGCTTGCAGCGTATCCGTCCACCACTGTCAACATAATTTAAGATTTGCTTGAAGCCATGGTGGATGTGCCAAAATTAATGGCTTTAACGCAGGCATCTTCAATATTTCTTGAATATATGTTTAATTCCCAACTTCCTCTTAAGATACATAGCAATTTAATTTGTAACTTGAATCGTTGATTAAGCAAGCAATTCATAAAAATTGTCGCCTATAACACAACTTGCATTGAAGGATTTAATATTATTATTTTTATAAATTGAGGGAATTTAGAGTTATTGCCCGTCCATCATGGGGTGGAATTTTGTGTGGCAACAACAAAAAAAGTGGTCTTAGCATGGTGGCCATTGGAGTATATGCGAAAAGACGATGTAATACCTAACCTAATATCTTAATAAAATACAACAATTGGAAATGAAAATATCTGGTTGTAAATAATTGCCATGGACGATTCTCGGACCGTTTGGGTGGGTAATTTGGCCGACGAAATGACCGAAGAACTGCTCTACGAGTTGTTTTTACAAGCTGCGCCTTTGGAACGAGTGAAAATCCCCAGCGATAAGCAGGGTAAACAGTCAAACTATGGTTTCGTAACGTTCAAGCACGAAGTATCGGTGCCGTACGTTATCAAACTATTGAATGACACCCGATTGTTTGACAGAAACATCACTATAAAACCCAGGCAAACGAATAATCCTGAGAGGATTGTTCCGAGCCCTGTTGGGAAAGAGCATGTACAGCATTTTGAGGATCACCATCATAATCGTCGCCAAAATCAGCACATGAGGTTCAATTTGGAAGCTCTGGATTACAACGCGTTAATGAATATGGGCGAGCAAATGAATGTGTTCGAGCACTATGACAACAGAGTCGGTAGGAATTATGGGACACGAGACAAAAACAACTTTGGTGATCGGGGTCGACCTCATAGGCATTTCAACCGGTCGCACCATGAATTTGACAGAAGAAACAATTTTTACCAAAACAACAGGAAACAGAGGAATGAGAGGAGGAATAATAGTTTTGAAAGCAACAGGAGAGGTAGACACTACTGAAATTTATTACCATCTGTAATTTCTAACTTATGTAATGAAATTTTTATTATTATTTTCTTACAAATTGTAGTTTATTTTAGTAATTTGCGGCAGAGCTTGATATTAAATACAAAATGACTACTTATTTTTTGCAAGTGTTTTGCATTCACTCATGTTTGTGGCTGCAGCAAGAGATATTTATTATATATCAGTTATTTTAGAATTGAAGCATAGAAAACTGTCAGTTTCATAGAGACTTGACTCATGAGCAATACTGATCACAGAAGATGGTTCCACTAAATTGACCCTAAAAATAGTCTAGAAAATTACTACTATGGCTATACTAGTTTTTCCAGGTTGTTATATCAGTTATCTCTGTCGTGGTTATAGCAAGTCCCCAGTTCCTAAATTGAATTTTTTTTTTTCTAATTCTATCAACCATATTGCTAAAATGATTGAACAAATCATGTTTTTTTATTGCTATTGGTCTGATTCAGAGGATTATTCGGTCAATATTGCCAACTTGATTTTACTTCTTTTCTCCTCAATTAGTGCCAATAATTTTGATTATTCCACCAAGTATTTTTTATTTATTAACTCCTTGAGCACTGCATGACGGATTAATCTATGCTCACTCCCGGTTGAATCCTTTATATATGACTTATTTGTTATAGTTAGTTATAAGCTTGTTTAAAAAAATTGTGTGGCACAGTTCCACCGTTTCCGTTATTCAAGCTGGTCACTTTTTTGTTTGGAATAGGTTTAAAATTTACGTCGGAACTTGTTTAATTGTTATCGGTTTATTATCTTTAATACTATTAATTACCAAGTATGATTCTTAATGGATGTCGCCAATGGGCGAATGCCCCTAGTAATATAACCTAACTGGACTTAATAATAATTAATGAAGAATAATTTATTTTTTGGTTCGTTTGTTTTGTTTTGAAGTTTGAATTAATTTGTTTGATCTATTTGGGGTTTTATATATTTTTGTTGAATGTACTTTAGGCAATTTGTTTTTAATTAAAAGTAAAAATAATTGAAATGCTGTGGAACTCTCTTTCATGCGATAGTTATGAGTGACACCGATGATACGGACGATTTATTGTTAATCCCCCCAGATTTCTTTTCTCTGGAGTCGGAGCCCGAGCCCCCTTACTATAACATTGTGGACAATCTAATAAGACAAGTAAGTAAGCTGCAAAATCGTATAGAGACTATCGAAAATACATCCGAGTTGAGTCTCATTGATAGCTCCTTGGAAAATTCTACAAACATGTCGCATAAATATAACAGCATGGAAGATGTGTATCAACCTGGGAGTGCTCAGAGTACTCCACAGAAGCCTCGTACCAAATGTAAATTGAATTCTTTACCGGCAAGTCCAAATGTGGAGCATTATAGCCCTAGAAAATGCTCCATGAGAATGAGATCACCGCAGAAGGGTGAGGGGCCCAACGTAGATTCAAAAATGTTAAATGAAATCGATAATTTTATATCAAATGCTAAAACAATTCATAGGAGTCAGGCAGCTAGAAACCTGGAAGAGTCTTATGGTACAAAGCAACAACCCATACAACTGCATAAAATGGATTCCCGAATAAATGTACAAGAACCTCAAATTGTAAAGGAAAATACATGGAGTTGTGGTGACAACATAATTTCAAAACATAACTCAAATTTTGGACCGAGAGATGAGGTAGGGGATGAGTCAAGTGATAGCAGTTCAGAGTCTACGCAGTTAACAGCATACAATAAATATGGCGAATCAGAACCTGTTCATGTTAATTTGAATGCAATGAATGCTCTCAGTATGCACAGGAAATTGATGGACCAGAAGATAGCATCTGAGGAAGTTAGGCTTCCTAAAAAACGGGGAATACACACCCTCACCAGTGACATGGGTCTCTTAAACCTAGCTGATATTTGGGGTTCAGAGAATTTGTCCAAAAGTCCAACAAAATTGAAACAAAAATTAAAAGAGGAAAAACTGAGACGACAAGTATGAGGAACATAAATGGTATGATACACTATAATTGGTATGATACACTATAATTTTTTAGCACTGTGAACAATTGATAAACGAGTTGCAAACTCGAAATTTGGAGCTCCAGCAAAAATTAGCCGTAGCCATGATGGTGGATGATTCAAAAAATGAAACAATTCGACAGTTTAAAGGTGCTCTGGAAAAAGTGACTTTAACAATTGAAAAACTAAATGAGGAGAAGATGAGCTGGACCCAGGAGATGGCAAAGTTGAAAAAACAATCCTCCCTTGAGTTGGAGACTTCCCAACAGGTGAATTTTTTGAAATGTGGAGCATGTGGATGAGTGTTGTTTTTTAGAAACTAGCATATTATGAAAAAGAAGCTTCAAAAGCGCTTAATCTAGCACATGCCAATCAAGACAAAATTTCTTCGTTAGAAACTCGTTGTTCCGACTTGCAAAGTGAATTGGAAGTAATTGAGAATAAATTGAAAGACGCCCAAAGCAATTATGATATTGAGGTTGAGAAGAACAAGCAATTGGCTGAGATTATCACTCAGAAAGAAATAGAACTCAAAGAGGTTTGTTGAGAATCTTCTTTTAATTGGAGGTGGTAGTTCAAATATACCAATAATTTGAAGCTCTTGTTTTGGTTTTATTTTGCACTGGAGCAGGTTCGGTATTTTTCAGAGCAAGACTGTATTAAGTGATGCGAGAACTGAAGTATTCGAAAGTCATAAAGCAGTGGAGGTGTGTCAAAAGGAGTTTTCCGATTTAAAAAATGAATACATGAAGTTACAATCCGATTTGAGGCATGAAAAAGGAGCGCTGATTGCTTTGACTGAACAAAAAAAGAAATTGTTGAGTGATTTGCAAAACGCAAAAGCTCAGGAAGTAATTCTATGTTATTTTGTTTTTTTAGCAAAAATATCTGACTTTGTACTTTCAGAAACACTTAAAAGAATCACTGGACGATGCCAAAGCCAAACTGGAAAGTACAAAACTGGAACTAAGGAACTACTACCAAGGTCAGTTGGAGATCATTGTGGAAAACAAAAGGAAGGAAATGCAGACGCAATTAGACAAGGAGAGGCAGATGACTGTTGAGGAATTCAAAAAGAAGGAGGTGTCAATTGCCAGAACTGCCGCCAATCACATAAAGGAAATTTCGGAGAAGTCAGTAATTTGTCATTTTATGAAATTTTATTTATATATTACTTCTTATTCTTATCTTATTCCATTAAATTGCAAATTTATTTTTGAAAATGCCAAATGTTACATTTTTCAAAAGTTTTACAGGCTGTGCAAAAAGTGCCAACGATGAGAAGGGTCTTCTTAAGATGAAATAATGAACATAATAATAATAATAATTTAGTGTTGTTCATTTAATTTCAATTATTAACCATCAGCAGTGACATTACTATTAACAATCATAGCACATATTATCAAAAGTTAGCGATTATTAACAATAATTTTTTGACCGAACTATGTTTTTTTTTTGTTTGAAAGAAACTTCCACAGGCTACTGTAATACTATTAATAAAACTTCTGGATTTGTCCTGCGTCTGTTTTTGCTGAGTCGAACTTGCTGACGTTGGCTTATTCAGAGCTTGATGAAGCTAACAGGATGATTGGAAAGAACTATGGTATCTTAGGAAACCGTGTGTATGCCCAGTAACGTTTAAACAATTAAAGTTTGTTTCGTTAATTTAGTAGTTTCCTTAGTCTAGTATTTTTGAATTTCACCATAAAAATATGTGATTATGTGTGTTTTTAAAAATTTAGTCAAATTTAACCACTGAAATAGCGATATTTGAAGTTAGGTTATATAATTTAAAATTTAAACTTTGTTCTATTTGTGAAAAGTTTTGTCATTCTGGGAAATTTACTGCTTTTATATAAAAAAATATATGTATTGCATTTTAATATTTCCTAATTTGCAATTATTGCAAATATATTACAATAAAATGACAGGGCGGTTCAAAACAAATTTGAAAAACTTAGGGGTCATTCCTAGTTTAAAATAAAGAGTAAAATTCATTTAAAAATCAGGCATTGCAATTCAAGCACTCCCACCGTACATTATAATTTTTTCTTGCGCATTTTTCGCAGTAAATGGAAAATATACAGGATTGGTTATAAGTAGATGTCAATACCAAGTTACTTTTTTAAATGCAACACCATTTTCTTTTAAATCCATTTTCAAATTTTCATCAATTTTCACGCATTATATAAAATTATACTCATAATTATAAATTTTATCTCAATTGTCACTGTGGATTTGTTAATGTGTCTCTCTGGTTATTTTGCGTTAAACAAGTTACAAACTTCTTGAATTCTCGTTTTGTCTCCATATTCTATAAAAATTAAAATTTCCATTTAAGAACTTTATTCGTACTAGCTACTTAGGGTGAAATTTGACATAGAATTTGAAATTGGATAAAAAACTATGTTTAATGCATAAAATCCAATCCAATAATCGAGATATAGCACAAGAGAAATGCCGCAAAAAAGGTTTTATTTTCAATCTAAAAATTAAAATAATGTTAAAATGTTACTATTATAAAACACACTTGGTGCATAATTTGTTTTTTTTTTAATGTTTTATTTAGAAACGTTACTGCAGTTTTTTCATAATCCTTGCGGTTTCCAAATAAAATAAATAAAATCTAAAGCAATGCATAACGAGGTAAAAAAAAATTGTAAAGAAAACGTCAATGTGCACGTCATTTGGTCCGCAGATGCGCATTGGAAATTAAACTATTGGAAGAAAAGCACCAGGAGGAGGTCAGGCTGTATCAGCTTCAAATAGTCCAGCTTCGGAAGGAGCTGGAGCATCTTCAGACGAAGCTGGCGCATCTTCCGGAGAAGAGGGCCCAGATCGCAAAACAGTTGCAGAAAGTGATGGAATCGCAGTTCAATGAGGCGATAAAAATGATGAGCAGCAGTCCCGCCTCCTTCACCGAATTACCCAATGGCGATTCCATCTTGAACGACACCCTGGGCAATCATTTACGATATGATCCGAACAGGAACCGTAGGCAGGAGAAAGATACCATCGACGGCATGTCGGATTTTGACGAGACGCCCGTTTCCAGCCGAGGTGGTGAACCGAAGCAGTCGGAAAGCGAGATTCAGAAATATATTAACATGGTAAGTTTATTTTAAATGATTGGAGTTAGTATGACGTGTCTAAAAATCGACAGATAACTTAAAGAAAAGCATTAGGTATTTTATATTTCTGTTCTGTCTTAAACTTCAGTCTGGACTTGACACACTTGCTATACGGTGTGAGCTCAATGCGATAGGTATCAACATAGCAAAGTATCATTTTTATGTTCGGCTATTGCATATATAGTTCTCCATTGTCACATCAGTAATCTTAGAGAAATAATGAACTCCACTTTATAATTTGTATTTGTGCTATTAGATGACTATACTGTTACCTATTAAGACCTTTATTAAAATATTGCTCAATAGATCCCGGTTTTTTCAAGTCATATACGACTTTTAGCTACGACTTCAAATTGCTCCAGGAGACATTTGAACTACCGAGATTGAGGGTTAGAAGAGATCAGGCAGACCTAATCTATTTTTCAAGATCATTATCGATATGGTTGATTGTCCTCTAGAAACGTATTTTATCGTCCCTTTAGGCGCACGAATGTTGGACCCAATTCGTGCATCTCATGTGTGGTAGAAATGGCTAATTCATATTCTAATCACCTTGATTTTTTTTACTAGTTTTGGTTGACAAAAGTAATTTCTTTTAAAAACATATCCATTTCATCTACTCAAGAAAATGAAATCTAGGAAGATTTTGGTTTGTTGGAATTTTTTCCCTTTAACCCTTTAATGGACGTGACTCTTTACACAATATCTAGGAATTTTAACTACAATATGGCTAGCAATATTGCTCCTCTTTCAAAATTTGTGTATAAATTCAAAATTGACAAATGTAGAAATCTAACCATTATATCTTCTATGGATAGTCCAATCAAATAGTCGTCATAAGAGCTGAAAAGATTTAAGTTTTCTTATCCCCTTCGATTAGATCCGAACAAATTCGGTTAACAAAGATCACGTGAAAATGAATTGACGAATTCTAACATATTTTACGTTTAAGTGAATAGATAGAATGTCAGTTTTTTTATTTATTTAATTAAATTCACAACAATATTTGCACCCAAAAAAGGTTTCATCAAAAGAAACCTACAAACTAATACAACATAGAAACAATGCATAATAAGACAAAACACAAAATTCAAACCACTTATACACTCCCTCCGCAATCATTCACCATTCTCCCAGTTGATCTGAAAAAACTCCTCCAAGGAGTATATTGTCATACTCACTAATAATGTTTTATTGTTTTTAAATTTGCTTTGATGGGTAATAAGGAAAATAGAGTTTGGCAAGTGCGAGCCAACCCACCCTGTAGAACTCGAGAGTTAATAATATAACTGTGAACTTTGGCAGAACTTTACTTGTTCTTATAATCCTTTTTTAGACAATTTTACCTCCCCAATGTGCACACTGACACCCCAAGGGACAACACCACGTGAAAGTATGGAGCTCTAACATGTGCATAATAAAAGGATAGCATATCCTCTCTCTTTACAGAATTTCTCAATTTCCAGTCGTAAGCCATCAAAGAACAAGCCACTAATTTTATGCTTTTTATCTCGTTTCTGAATAATGAAGTTTACTTTGTTACTGGATTGTCTATTCTTTCTTCATCGTTATTTTTATATTTCATTCCTTCCTCAGAGCTACTAAAAAAACTAAGTTTCTATGAGAAACTCCTAGTTGAAAATTTTCAAGAAATTGTTCTAGCAAATTGTTCATGTAGCTTCATGTATCACAATTAGGGCCCAAAATTCGTCTTCTGCGATTTTTTTTATTGCCGCTGGAGGCGCCGTACTCCATATCAGAATTGAACTAGTATAGTATAATACTAGAAGCAGAAATTGTATTATCCTTTTCCGTAATTTACACCTTTGTGCCAAAAAAAATCTGCAATTTATTTCTTCTCTTCATTTCATTGAGAAGGTTCACAACTTGCTTGATTGTTGTTTTTCTTACTCATTGAATTTGCACTGGATCAAGCTTACAAGCTTACGAAAATGAGATTTGGAGGAGAAGGTACCAAAAAATAAAATATAGAATCAGAATTTTTGAGAAACAAGTCTCAATTTCTGACGTTAATCAGAATATCTGAGAAACGAGTCAAAATTTCTGAAACAAGTGTCTCGTAGTGGACATTGCGAAGCGAAACTGGATATACAGGATAATTCATAAGAATGAAGGTGCTAGATTTTTTTACTTCGTTTTTGAGATCTCGGTAAAATCAAAATCAATCATTCCAATTTGTGTCAGTATGCTTTTGAGTCGACACCTTGGTATGTATTTTATTGTTCTAAAAATTACCCTTGTGGGTCTGATGATGTGTGTGTGCGCTCTCAATTCAATATTTCAGTTATAATATTTACACCAAGAATGAGTCCTATCTTATTAAAATTAATTTGCGGTATAATAAGATGTTCTATATTGGGGAAGGCCGGAGGAAGGGTTAAGTTAGGTTAAGTTAGATAAAGGAGTATTTTAATTAACCGATTAATCGATGGATGGTGCGCATACGCGCGACCCCGTTACGTCGGTTAAAGGGAGGAGACGAGAAAACTTTAACTGGGATTCGAATGTGCGCGACAGCTGAAAAACAGTCAGGAAAACACTCCTTGGTTTGTCGTATGCCTTAATGTCACCCCGGGCTTGAATATATTCATTCGCTATTTCACTGATCTTTCCGATACTCTATTCATCTATGGCATCGTTAAGAGGAGAGAGAGAGTATGGATGTTTTGTCAATACATTTTTGGGTGTAGCGATTATGAAGCACATCCCTTTTTAATACTGCTTAAGAGTGTTTGGATGATTCCTAGTTTGGTTGCTTTCGAATAGTTTGACTCGAAATATGTGTGGGTTTACTATATACAGAGTAGGTGTAGATGTAAGTAGAAATAATGGCTCTATCAGCACCTCTGTATATAGGAATCGTACACATACCAGAATCATCCAAACACTCTCTCAATACGATTCATCACAAGCTTCATTCTCTCCAGACAATTCCTGATTAAACTTTATTCTTCTACAGGGCTTGAAAAGTGTAATTTCCGCGACGAGCAAAGCCCCCCGGGTGCTGGAAAGTTTTCTTACGCTCTACGGGTTCGTGTTTTGAGATTTTCCGATGTACCGTTTGCGATTAAACACTTTTCTCGCGCTCCGGTGCTTTCAATCGTTAATCCTTTTGGCGTTTTAGCTTCTAAACCGCCACCCGGGCAACCCGACGGTCGAACCGCCCCCGGCGAAGGACGTGCAGGCGCGCGAGCGCCCCCAATGGCAGCCAGGCGTAAGTACGTATTAAAGCGACGCTCTTTGCGTCGTAACTGATTCGTTTGTTCGACGCAGAGTCCCGAAAGCAAAAGTAGGGACCCGAAGACGAGTCCGAGGGAGAGCAAGTGCGGCAAGCCGCCCTGGAAATAGTACCGCCGCCCTAGTTGAGGTGGCAATTTGCAATCCGGTGTACATGACATCGAATTGTTAAGAGAAATGTGTCCGCGATTAAGGAAATTCGATTACATTTTTTTTAAGTGTTGTGATTAGTATTTTTTTAAATGAAAATTATAGGTAATGATGAATGGATATTCTAACAAAAAGTTTATTCGGTGCCTATCGATTTTCTGTTCGATAACATATAAAACAAGATTGCTTTCGAAATCTCGTAGCTTCGGAGTTTCTTGTCTAAAGGGACTGCATTATTTTTCTGCCCCTGTGGAGCGCTATGGAACTCGATGTAATTTTATTGTGTGTATAAAATGTCTTTTATGTCTCGCTGAAATTCAGATTGACGGCAAACTTTGATAAAAGAAAATAATAGCGATTTCCAATGATATTTTTCCAAAAATCTCACGCACCCTGTATAATAGATCTAACACTCTCTCGACACAGTTTACGATACTCTTTCAACCAAATTATCCCATGCTGTATAGTTTTTCATTTACGGCTAATAATTTATCCACATAAATGGCAATTTTCGGAGCCTTTTAGATTTTTTTTTCAAGTAATCTAATTTTGTTCTCAATCTTTTGTGGTATTTTCGCAGTTTTCAAAATTTCAGCATTTTATTCGTAAACCAATAAATAATGAACGAGATACATATAACTTCGACAAATTATTTGAACGGAAAGAAATAAAACCGACGGACGTCACTTTAGAAACTCGTTTTTATTCAATGCAAAATTGTGTTACTCCTCTAACACGGCGAAAACAAAAAAAAATAAAAATAAAACGTCGTAACAAAACGGAGCACCTGACCAAAAAAACCGAGACTCTCAATTCAATATTTCACTTATAATATTTACACAGAGAATGATTCCTATCTTATTAAAATCAATTTGCGGTATAATAAGATGTTCTATATTGGGGGAGGCCGGAGGAAGGGTTAAGTTAGGTTAGGTTAGGTTACCTCTCTAATCTAAACTATACGTGTAGAACAAACCTTAAAAAATAATATAAATTAAAAAACGCACAGGATCAGGGGGTTTATAATTAACCGACTAATCGATAGATGGCGCGTGTACGCGCAACCCCGCTACGTCGGTTAAAGGGAGGAGACGAAAAAACTCAAACTCGGATTCGAATGTGCGCGACAGCTAAAAAACAGTACCTAAAAACAGTCAGGAAAACACTCCTTGGTTTGTCGTATGCCGCTATTACAACCACACTAACACTGAACAGTCTTGGCGTAGGTATCAAATTATTAATTGGTTCACGGAACCAATGCAGTCCGATTGTATCGTCCGTGATTGGGCAGATGACCACCCGACATTTTTTTTCTCTTGTTTTTTAGTTTTAGTTTAGCTAACTCCGGGGTAAGGTGGTGGGGGAAGGACGAGGATGTGGAAGTGGTGGTGGTGAGAGTGTCGCGATTTGCCGGACCGGATCCACGTTTCCCCCGCCCCTCCCGGCTGCTCCTCCCTCGAATCGAATCCGGCCAGGTGAACAGAAACGAGCGAAGTAACCAAAAAACCAATGAACGTGACAATTAATGGAAAAAAATAAACCCAAAGTGTCCCGCGCGTCCGCTTGTCCTGCGCACATGTAGTAAACATAATCATCATCATCATCATCGGCTTGCGTAATACTTCGGCGGCGGCGGCGGCACGGGTGGTGTTTTCGTCTCTAAGCCGACGTACCGTTGACCAAAGCCTCTTTCTGTTGCTGTTGCTGCTGCTGCTGCTGTTTGTCGACAGGCATGCCACCGCTGCCGCTTCCGCCACCGCGTCGCGGGGGCGGCGGTCTGTTGTACCGGTTCTTCGGCCCGCCTCCGCCGCCCCGCGGCTGGTTATCGATACCGTTGTCGGTCAACGGCTGTTGGTCTGAGTGGTTGTTCACTGCAAGGAATAGTTAATATTAGGGGAACGAAAGCCCTTGTCTCCTTTCGATTGGTTCAAAGTTCTGTGGCGTCCAAAAGGCCAAAAAGAGCACGAGGCTATTAAGTTGCAAACCGTCCCCAAACAGTCGATCAGATAGTGTTTCGAAATGTGTCTATATCTACAGTGTCCCCGTAAATGATGGGACCCGAACCCCCTTTTGTTTTTTGTATCCTTGTATATGTGGCATGCACGTATATAAATAAAATGTCTAATTTTTGATGTAAGGACAATATGTCAAAAATTTTTTAATGATAAGGCGCGTCATAGTCATTTCACGTTCTATTTGCATACCAATTTTGAAAACATTTGATTCGTCAGTTTTTGAAACACAATCAAATGAGTCAAAAGTTTATTAAATACATTACATCAAATCGAATGAAATATCAATCAAAAACATCGAAATTCCTTCAAATTCATGCATCTCATAATTCTATAATAGTGAAACATCTAAATCAATAATACATTAAATTGAAACATTGAAATTCCTTCAAAAAAAAATCTACTAAATTTCTTAGTGAAAGTGTACCAAATGCATCGACAAGAAAAGAAGAAATTTTCAAGCAATAAGCGGATGAATTGCCCACAAAATTATCTAAAATGTGAGTTGTTAAAAATTGTCAAAAATTACAAAACAAACTTGCCGTATGTTACAGACGAAATAATTGATGTAATTGGTTGTCAAGTTTTAAGATTGCCTCCTCACCATTGTATATTTATTGCCATAGAATTGCCAATTCAGAATATTTTTTAATAAAAATTGGAACTGGAAGGCAGCTCTCCAGACAGTTACCAAAAAAAATTGGATCAGTAATATAAGACATATAGAAAATATAATAAAAGAATACTGGGAAAAAGAGAATACACTTGATATAATGGTACCACTACATGTTATTAATGTAGACGAAGGATCACTATCCATCTGGTGGTAGCAGTTCCAATTTTGGCTGCGATGATGAAGATGTTTCATCGTAAATACAAATTAAATTTGATTTACTTGTATATTTACTCGTGGCAAATTATAGTTAATACGATCTAATATATATATTTTTTATTTTCCGATTTTTTTGGTATTGGTTAAATTTTTATTGCAGGACAGAGTTTTCGGTTTACAAAAACGGCCTTCCAAACTAACAGTTGACGACTGAGAAATTTAAACTGTCCAAACAGACCATTTAGATTAAGAATAATTTGATGCTGTTATTGATTTTAAAATATTTTCGCCGTTCCGTTTGACTTCAAATTTGTGTCTGTGTAATGACCTGTTAATGAACGGTCTGCATAAATTTAGATAAACACCAAACATCACAACTTTGAACCAAAATATGTTGTTAATAATTGCGGGCGTTGACCTGAAAAGTATAAACAAACCCCAACGGTTACGGACATCCAAAGTTATGTTGCGTGGGAGGCGACAGTTAGTGGGGGGGGCGGGGCATTGTACTAAAACTAGACGTGGAAACGCGGCATTACCATCTGTGGAGTTAGTATCACTCGTCGGTGGCTTAAGGGTTATTGGTTATATCACAGCTCGGTCCCAAAAAAGATTCTACCCTCTTTTGACCGCAGTTGAAGCGCATGCGCTCATTCCACCAGTCGGGCAGTACCGACTCGTTACCTGTGCCGTTACCCTCGTCTTGCGCCACAGGCTGCTGTTCGACGCCACTGGGCTGCTCCGAATGCTGCAACTGACCGTTGCTGCGACCCCCCCTCCCCCGACGCCTACGCCTGCCGGCCTGAGGCCTACCGCCGCCACCACTACCACCGTCGCCCCACTCCTGACTCGACACGGACTCTGCGGCAATTGTTTTATTGGGTTTTTGCTCCGGCGGAGGTACGTGGATGGCAACAACACCATCGCAACCACTAACTTTCACGGGTTGTATTGGTTGGCGGGTAGTTAACATGGTGTTTTTAAAAGAGGCGCGACAATATTCTCAAGTTGAGTTTTTTTTCTAAACTAATTCAAATATCTTCTCACGGATTTGTTTATTATGATTTAATTATAATATTATAATAACACTGCTCGAATTATCGTCATATCTTCTTTTGTTTGCGAGACAAAAAAATAAAGCCTACTTTATTGCATGCCCATTTTATCATAACAATATTTTTCAACATTCAATAATGTTTGCGAATAATTCGACCAAAAATAATTTTACATTTATCACACCCTCCAGATCCGATGCAATCTTCTCCTCATGGATTAACGAACTCTGTAAAAAATACCACGGCTGTTTCCGAACCTAAACCAAAGACTTTACGTGGTCCCCACAGGAAACAATCCCGGGGGCTTAAATCTGGGGGACGTCCAGGCCATAAGTGAGGTTCACCTTAAATCGAACTAGGGCATTTTTATGTAAACCACGTTTTATATCCACATCAAAAATTGATAACAGACATTTTCTTTTTATATTGATTTAAATATAAACTCCCCAGCAAAACTGGTTAAGGCAAGACCGCGGCACAAATAAATTAACTACTTTTCGAAAAACTGTTTGTTTTCTTTGCCTTGGGTTCACCAAATCAAGACAATGTGCCAGGCAGCTCAATGTTCGGGTAATCTGGTGATGCCCAAATTTCTAACAAACCCGTGAGAAGATATTTAAATTAATTTAGAAAACATTATTAAAAAAAAAGTTTAACACCTTGGAAACATTTCTGAGAATTTTTTTCATTAAATGATCTGAGGAATCAACCACTTACGCTTGACAATAATGCATAATACACTGATTGTATTCTAAATATGTGTGATAATATAACAATTTTGAAAAGAAACTTTTGCTAAACGTTTAGTATATTCGCTTTTGCATTAATAATTTTTAAGGAGAGACCATTTTAAAGTACGCGGTTTGCCAATATTAATAAAATACTTTTAAAAGTGATCCTTGATTCGTTTTGACTGGCGTATAATCGCAAATCCTGTACGATCAATGAACAAAAAATTGCTCCGAAGACCCTTCCCAGGAACTTTGCTATTAAACTTGAATAAATCACCCAGTAAGCTCCAGTCGGCTCACTCATTCGTAGGAGGTTACCAATTAAATTTCAACTTTGGGCCATTAAAGGGTTCGATTTCGCACCCGATATCTCTTACCTCGGTCCGCGCTGGAGACGTCGTGACTGTCCAATACGGTTTCCTCGTCGTCGTTGGTTCTGCGCCGGTCCTCGCCGCCGCCTCTGCGCATGTCGCCCCTGCCCCTGCCGCCGCCTCGCCCGCCCCTGTAGCCACCGTACCTTCGCGGGCCACCATCTTGGATGCGTTCGTCGACGGTGTCGGGCGTCTGATGGCGGGATCCTACCAGCGCCGGTTCAACAAAACAGATTTTCCAAATAAAAACCGCTCGGAAAAATAATATACCCGTATTAATTAATTATTGCTTAATTAACCTATGAGTGAAACAGAACTAGACGAAAAATACGACATCCTTGACTTGCATAAGAAGATCAAAGAAATGTCAGGACAACGCAACAATACACTATCACATATTCTTAAAAACAACGAGGAAATAATAATTGGAGGAATAACACAGGGCACAGGGCCTTCGATATTATGGATGATAAGGCGCGATTATTTTTCTTTTTTCAAATAACTGAGCAAAGTTTGCACGCCCCACCGCACAAGACGGTAGTTTGACATTACTTTTTAAATTCAGTTCGTCGCGTCTTATTAATTTGGTGTTTAAAATATCCGAGAATTGTTATTTTAAAAAAGAAAACAGTTTACTGATGAAAAGTGGGAAAATATGCATGTATGATTTGACTGATGGCAGTGGCACTTTGAGGGCCAATAATTATTTAAAAGAAGACCATCGGACTGTGGAAACTCCAGAAATTAAAAAAGCAGTTTTAAATTTTATTGATGAAACTTCTGGGCTTAGTACTAGAAAAATTGGAAAGAATCATATCATACTCAACGAGCCCAAGCGTTATTTACTTTAAACATCAAATGTTTGGACTGTAATTGATGGAATTTATTCAATTGGACCCTTTTTGCTGCCAAATAACTATAATTATCGCCGGTTTTTAGAAGAGGACCTACCCAAAAGGGCTAGAAGTACCATATTTAATTAGGAACAGAAAGTGGCTCATGCATGACGGCCCGCCTGCTCAATTCAGAGGCGCGCTATAGTAAGGGAATATTTAAATCACACATTTCATAAACATCAACCATGGCCCGTTAGGTCCCCATATTTAGATAGACTGGTTTAGGGCACCCCAGTTAAAACTGTAGAAGAGCTAAAGAATCGTGTAAGAGCTTCCTGCGATTTAATAAAAAACACTGGAGGTATACTTCAGAGTGCGCGGCAATATGAAGAAGAGCTGAAGAGTGTATCCTTCCAACAACTTATCTAGTTTCTATATTCTATTTTTTTTCAAAAGGGTTGTTATTAATTTATTAACAGACAATATTGATAAAAGTTATTAATAGTAGGTTGTTTTTTTTTAATAAGAGTCGTTTGTTATTTATTTTGTTGGTCGGTCACTAAAAACTAGATATTTTGTTTTAGATATTTTATTTTTCACAAAAAAAGTTCTCGATTTAATCAGTGGCGACCTGATTAACCAAAATATTATTTGTTATAGACAGTCATTGGCACGCCACTGATTAAAAAAAAAGACATTTGCAGCCATTTTTAAGCAGATTTGATCTCTTAATTTTTTTTTCAGTTCGTCACACGGTTTTCAGTTAAAAATAAAAAGTTCTCTGCATACTATCGTATTAACGATATTGTTATGACCATGCCACAATCGAATTTTTTCCTCGAGCGGGACATAAATAATTCTCAGTTGGGATTTAAAAATGATTGGGTACGATGGAGGCGCTGTCTTAGCTCGACATGAACCTGGCCATCATTCAATACTGTATTGCAATCAAACAGCTAAAGTCAGCTAAACAGAGACTTGAGTTTGTTACTGCGTCTGAAAATGATACGGAGGCATAGCAGATGTAGAATGATTCTAAATATATTGGATTTCAAACGTTGAGGTTTAGAGAAGGATGTGATGCGAGTCAAAAAAAGGATACTTGAATGCTTAGAACATCTAATGTGGAGCCCAAGATGTGGGTTGCTGCGAGTGCCTGAGAAATTAGAGAGAATGGTTTGATTTAGCATGGTAATTTCTAACCCTCGATAGAAGGTGGAACTCTGAGAAGAATGGTCTTTACCCGCATAGCGTAACCCATTGGACGCGAATATATCTTCGCAATTTCGTCGGGATTTTTAATGCTGCCATCTCCCTCACAGTTACAAGAGGATTGTACAGAAACAGCGTAATACAACTCTATTACCATTCGATTTTTATAAAAATTACAGGAAACAAATCGGAACTTTAAAGATAGGGAATCTGAAGCATCTAAGCTGTTAAGTTGCACCTGAAAATTATCTAATTATCAAAATTGTAATTTTCGACTTTGAACGTATTTGAAAGTGGTTTTTCAAAACTTAAAATCTGTACAGTTAAAAAACATCCGCAACTTCTTGATCAACTTGACCCCGTAAAAATATACCTCAACTAATTGTTTGGCACCAAAAATTTTGTCAATTCGAAAAAACGCGTTGTTCGCTAGATTGACTTTTGAAAATTTATCGTTTTATATGGGTTTCAATTAATATATTGAAAACATTTATAAAAGATACATAATGTTCTTGCTCTTAAAAAATACTACTTTTGGAAGTTTTATGTCTGCAAAAAGGTATTTACGGATATGACAGATCAACTGCTCACTGACATGGTTCCCAGTAGTTAAAAGGCCGTTGAAATCGGGGAAGATCAATCGGGCTGGAAGAGCGAAGGCATCATTTGATGTTTCAAGCCAACCTGGTGGTGCTTCGTCACGGTTCGAAGTATAACAGAGACAGTCAGACGATTGGTCCACATAACGCTCGATTCTATAGCGAAAGATTTTAGCTGCGGAGGTAATGTGAGATCCAAGAGTATTATATGACTGAGTCTGAAGCATGTGTTCTGCGAGTGGGAGCAGGAGATTGAGATTTGACTTCGTTGTGGATAGCAACACGGCTATACCTTGGATGAGGTCGTAGAAGATTGGTATATTCTGAGAGTGAATGACCACTTCAAATGTCTCTTCTTCACTATTAACGTCCACGAACCGTTCAAATTCTCGTGCCATCTCTGACATTACATCGAGTGCTCGGTACCATCCTAATAGTAAAAACGTAAAAACGCATCACGACTAGAAAAATCAAGTATGTTTCCTATTCCATCTAAATAACGTCCGAGTTCCAATGGAACCGCAAGGTTGAACGAGAGGCGGTTCATAAAATCTTCAGCAGATGAGCGATCTCTTTCTTACTCTGATGTTACATATAATAAGCGAAGCCACAACAACCTTTCCGCATAGTATTCAAACATTGCAAGTAAGACTCTTTGTTTAAATTGTTTATCCCTTGTAAAATATAAATAAATGTTTCGAACAATTGTAAAGTATTGGGAACCGTCAAGATGAAAAAACAAACGTGAACTAGGGGCAACAGCTGTAAGTCCTTCGACTAAAATAGACGAGTCCATCATCCGGTCGTCCTTAGGTTTGAAACTGGCTTGTGCGACTTGCTTAGGCTTTAACTTATTTAATTTTTTAGCAGGCGGTTGGGCGCTTGTGATGGGTTCTTCTTGATTCTGAGGAGTGCTAGATTCTGAGGTAGATTGCTTCGATTGATCACGTGCATTTCTGCCTGGAAACACCATTTTTGGACGAGCTACTAGCCAGAACCTTTGTGACGTGTATAAAACTTATAAAACTAAAGGCCACTAGGAAACCATATGAAAACTATTAGAACTAACAAAACAAACCGAATTTATTACTATCATCAATTAAATCATCACCTCACTTTCAAGTTGCTAATCTATTGCTTAACATGTCTTTCAAAATTGTTCGAACCAAAGAAATTGGGAAAAGATCATCACATCTTTGACAGTCACTCTAAGCAGAGTTAAAAATTGAAAAAACGGAAACTTTGCCCAGAATTAAATAATCTAAGGACAGGCAGGTGCTTTTCAACAACCTGGTAGAGTAGGCTGTATTTGCAAATATAATATTATCTTGATTGTAAATTAAATAAGTTAGTAAATTTGGTAGAACAATGTACAAAATTTTGACAAAAGTCTAACAGCCATTAATTTTCAAAATAAAGATCCCTCAAGGCGTCTCAGAGCGGAAATTAAAAATACTAAACGTTAGTAGATCAAAGATACGTTTTTATTTTTTATTTTCAAAGAATTTATTTGTTGTGTTAATAAATAATCGAAAAAACGGAATTGATGTAGTCAGTGCCAATTTATGTTATGTATATACTACGGTTAAACCTGAATAACACAAATGATAAGTAGAGAGTCGCATGGTGATAAGGAAAAAGTTTTTTTGGAAACAACAAGCAACTTTACATTGTAATAAAGAGACACAGTGAATAAATTTCTACGGTTATGAGCTCAGGAACCATGATGATCATGATATGTGGACAGCTCTAGAAAGGAGATATGAGAAAGGGAGCTTGTCAGGACAATTTCACCCATTTAAACTGAAAGAAGGTGAAAGTTTAGAGAGAGATACACACGGAGATAAAATTTACCACTTGTTGTTGACGAGACATTGTTTGTCATAATTGAAAATACAAGGATTCTACATCTGAAAAAGCAAGAACAAAGTTATTAGCTGAAAATTACAACAGAAACAGAAACAATTTGAGTAGTGTAAACATCACAAATGAGACTGTATTTTTCAGCAGTAATAAACAAAAATTGTGTTACATATGTCAAGGTCGGCACTTAATGCAAGAATGTTCAAGAAATTACAAAAATACAGTAGGATACTTCAATAGAAATTAAAATATGAGAGGAAGTTTCAGTGAATACACACACTATGCAAAAATTTGTTACATATTTCAAGGTCAGTATTTACTGCGATAATATCTAAAAAAAATATGAGAGGAAGTTTCAGTTAGTTGTTAGTTTGTTAGACCACCAATACACATCAGCGCAGTAGAGAAGGTTATCAAAGAAGTGGAGAACAAAATTCTGAATAAAGAGGAATGGAAACGTCCAAAACATGGATAGGCAAAACAAAAGTGCAGATTTTATAGCCGATTTCGAAAATCAAAATTTGGAATGTGTCAGATAAGTTGATTTTTTATATTGATTCCGGGTGCACATAATAAGAAAAAATATTTTACTATAAAACAAACTTTGTATGCGTTATAGACAGAATAAAAAAGTACCTTAATGATTTGAGAATTTAATGCAAGTAATTTCATTAACAACGGTCCAAATGGTTTTGAG